TTAATAATAAAACAATTTATTTTTGGTTTAATATTATAAATTTTATAAAGATAATAATTAAGTATTCTGTTAGAATTTAATTATTATACTAATTATATTTTAGATTTTTTATATTTAAAATGAGATGTTTATCATGTATTTGATTGTGTTTATCTGCAGTTAGTTACATGAATTTAGATATGAGATAAAATCGGATATGGATGAAATCATTTAGGGATGAACGAGTTTAAAATTTTTTAAGAGTTTTTAAAGAGTTTTTAAGAATTTTACCCAAATGCTTTATAAGATAAGTACAGATTCCAATAGCAACCAGCACGCTTAGGATTGGCGGGAAAGCAACAGAAACGCACCCACACAACTGTCGTATCCGTTGAACCTAAGCAGATACTAATCTTACAATCATTCAGGATTCCAATCGACTTTAGTGATGATCGTTTTGTTGTGACCTCAACAGGTATACTACAAAATCCTTTCCATTTTCTATGATATTTTTATTCTTGAATTCTCGATGTGGACAAATGTTACGAACCAATCACATGGAAACAATCGTCCGGTTATTTGTTCTTTATAAACAATTACTAGTTTCTCACACTGTATACAGCTATAGATTCTTTAGCTTTCTGCAATTTTGAACTGAATTCATGGGGAAAGATGGGGTTTTGGGGTTGATTTTGTTCCTAATTGTACTTTACGGAGCTTGGTTTTTTGAGTTAGGGTTTTCTGTGACTGTAACTTATGACAATAAAGCTTTGATTATAGATGGGAAAAAGCGGATTTTGCAGTCTGGATCCGTTCATTATCCTAGAGCCACTCCTGAAGTGAGTTCAGTTTTGATTTTGTTTTAATCATGTTCGTGGTGATTTTGTTGTGTGCATGATGAGGATGTGGTTGATGTTTGCATTGTAGGTGTGGCCGGATATCATTGGGAAGGCAAAAGAAGGTGGATTGGACGTGATTGAGACCTACGTTTTCTGGAATTATCATGAGCCTGTAAAGGGACAGGTACAGTATTGAATGCGCATTTATAAATTCATGATAATGACAACTATGTTTGCATGAAATATGTTGATATAATATAGGGGATAAGTCGAAATTTATAAGAAGTTAGGATCCAAGAAAATGTATAAGGTACAGCGAGAGGGGTTGTTGTAGGAGTGCTTGAAGAACTTCCAGGAGTTGCAGAGAGTTTCTAATAACACATTGTTGTATTGATTTTTGGATGGTTCTAATTGAGGAGACCTTCACGGTATATAGGAGTCTCTGCCTCTCGAAAAACCATTCTGGATAAGAGGAAGTTTATAGGTTTTTTAAAGCAAAATATCTAGTCTATTATTATGGATTAAAGAAATCTAGAGTGCTTCAGGAAATACAAGTGACCTATAATATTCTGATAAACCGTACAAGTCCCTAGAGAATTCTAGCATATAATGGAGCCTTGCTCCGGGAATGTTTGTAGAGCAGTCCAACAGATGTCAAGCATGCAGCTATGTGATTTTGGTATCCCAATCAACTTGGTGAGTGGCAACGCAAATCTATCAGGAATCAACTGAAATATAAATGCCTACCAAGAAATAGAAATGAAATGGGCTTCTTGTATAAATGTCTTTGCTTCATTCCGAGATGTCTGAATGAATTGTTCATGGTTTACTTACTTCCATATTTGAGATTTAACAACCAAACTAATTTGACATTCTTTTTCTTGTCGGCTGGCTGACTCGTATATATTCTTTATGTCATAGTACTACTTTGAAGGACGGTTCGACTTGGTTAGATTTGTGAAGACGGTGCAGGAAGCTGGCCTGTTTGTACATCTTCGTATTGGTCCATATGCCTGCGCTGAATGGAATTATGGGTCTGTTATTTCTTATTTAGATCCTCTAGTTTAAAACACACTTTGAGTCATAGGCCTGTGCCAAATCATATGTCCTGTTTGTACATCTTGGGATTGCTCAAGCCCATAGATGCTCAAGTAGACATGCCAATGACCTTTTTCTCCAAGTAGAATGATCAAACCCATCCTCTATTTTCATTTCATTTCAATATTTTGCTTAACAGAGGATTCCCTCTTTGGTTACACTTCATCCCTGGAATTCAATTCCGAACCACGAATGGCCCTTATCAGGTACTCCACTACCAGACACAATGTTAATTTTTGCTACATCTTTTGATTTTCATCCCACTGTTATCTCTCTTCTTGTAGAAAAGAATCTTGTGATATTAGTGCATTATTGTGCAAAGTTAAGAAGAAATTATGATGCAGGCAGAAATGAAACTTTTTCTTGCAAAAATCGTCAACTTAATGAAGGAAGAGAACCTTTTTGCATCACAAGGAGGACCAATTATTCTTGCTCAGGTGATTCCTGTTACATTGCACGAGTAGGATTTTGAAGATCACTTTTGAAGTTCTCTCTCTCTTGTGCTTTTGGGAATATGAGACAGATGTTTTTTGCTCCTTTTGGGTCTATTTCTCAGAGTGTGTTGTTATATATAACAGGTTGAGAATGAATATGGAAATGTTGAGTGGGCCTACGGAGTTGGTGGAGAGCTATATGTAAAATGGGCAGCAGAAACTGCTCTAAATCTTAATACAACTGTTCCTTGGGTGATGTGCTCACAGAGTGATGCACCTGATCCAATTGTAAGTAAAATTATCTCACAGTTTATTGTCATATAAGAGTGTATATCTATGTTAATTATGAACAAGCGAAATCAAAGTCTTTACAGCAGCACAAGCTTCTGCCTGCACCACTCTGCTGGATACTCGATTAGAACCTCTATTTGTGTGTCAAATTTTTATTGGTTCTTCATTAATTATTCTTTAATCATTTCTATAGCGTAGAACAAAGTTTGATTGTCCTAAACCATTCAATTTTTCATCCACTTCATGACCATGTTCTGCTTCATTTTCGCAACAACCTTGTGGACACCTTGTTGACTACAGTGGTCAAAATCATGGTTCCACTTTATTGTTTGCCTTTTCACCGAGATATTGTTGGTCAAATTATCAGTTGCCTTCTGGATGGCTCGAGTTATTCCTCTTTTGCTTATGTATGTAACTTTTGAAGGTAACAATTGCATTCTTCAGTTTCTGTTCATCATGTTTTTGCCTTTCTTTAAGTTTTAGTTCATTAAAGAAAGCCAGCCCTATGTTATTCAAGCATAATTTACCATGTATTGTCATCTCTGCTGAATTATATATTTACTACAAGAAAAAAACATTTTCATTTTTGTAGCTAAAAAGGGGTTGCTAAAAGGGTCTCTTTTGCTAATAGCGATTTGTAATGAACTTTGGATCACAAGCCATGGTTGTAGATACATAGTTTACTGAAAGGGCTGTGGATCCTATGTGTAGAACTTCCTAACAGTAATATGACACGTCGATTTCTCGTAAGGTGACACAATGAACTGTGGCTCACTCTATGGTCACTCAATTCCTGCCATGCACTTCCCTAGTTCACGACACATTGGCGATTGCTAAGTAGTGTAATCTCTTGATGCATTTAGGATTGCAAAATATCTTTGGCAGAAAATGACAGTATTCTGTGGTAGTGATTCAGTTCTAACATAATGGCACTCCAAATGTAGATAAACACATGTAATGGGTTCTATTGTGATGATTTCACCCCAAATTCTCCTTCAAAGCCAAAGATGTGGACAGAGGACTACACTGGATGGTACAGTTAACCTTTTGCTTTGGCCTGCTACTCCATAAAAGCATCTACAGTAGTCATATATGATCATCAAAAATGGTACTCTTTGATTTAACAGGTTTCTTTCATTTGGGTATCCTGTTCCTTATCGACCGGTTGAAGACCTGGCTTTTGCCGTTGCACGATTTTTTGAGAAAGGAGGCACTTTTCATAACTATTATATGGTATATTCAACCAATCTTTTTGTTTCATGTCGACATTTATTATTTGACAGAAAAGCATACATCAACAAAATAAGGATCTGGTATTTTGCAGTATTTTGGTGGAACAAATTTCGGACGAACAGCTGGAGGCCCCCTGGTTGCTACAAGCTATGATTATGATGCCCCAATAGATGAGTATGGTAATTTTCTGACACCTTATCAATTTTCATGCAACACTTAGTGGTACATGTCTAAAACCCTCGTTTTCATTTTCTTTTCACTAGCGCTCAACTACTAAGAAATATTTTCGGTAAATCTAACATATGATTCCAAAAGGATACTACTATCTGTTCTGAAGTCTTAAAAGATTTAGAAGAACTTATGCAGGATCTATAAGGCAGCCAAAGTGGGGTCACTTGCAAGACCTACATATGGCAATAAAGCAATGTGAAGAATATTTGGTAAATGCAGATGCAACTCATCAATCTCTTGGTTTATACTTAGAGGTAAGCCAAATACATCAATGTGCATACATAGTGAATAGTATTATGAATTTAAATCTATTCTCTTGACCTATGAAGCCTTGATACTTGAGTTAGAGTGTTCTATCCACAACGGTGCGAATTGGGTTCGGATATGCACGATGTATGCAGCCATTATTAAACTTTAAAAATGAATTGGATATGGCTTAGCTAAATTGCTTTTGGCTTGTATCTTGAGGGTTTGGCTATTTTTCTCATTATTTCAAGGCTTCAAGTACTAGAACATATTATGTGAATGATTATAAAAAATTATAAAATATTTGGACTCCAGTTGTTCAGATAATTAGGGTTCTGAGGTTTTGTTTTCTACACTCCACTCATCTTTCTCTTTATGCTCTTATTCCTATGTACTTATCTTCCCTGCTTGTGTTTGTTGCATGCCCCCTCTGCTTCTTGTTTCTTATATAGTTTTTTCAATATTTCTAGGATTGTTGTTTGTGTTCATAGGATATGGCATCCCAATTGAGTTTGTCCACAAGCAGTTTGAGTTATTTTTTTATGGGTTTAAATACTTTGACGGTTTCTGAAGTTATTTCTCTATTTTGTTTTACTAGGATACACATGTGCAGCACCTAGATTTTAGTATTTCTTAAAAATGCCAAACCCATTTTCACTTGGTCTTCTTTGCAAGCATTGCAAGTCACACACATTGATAATGTATCAATTAAGGAAGATGTGTTTAGTAAACATAAACTTATATGTGATCAACCAAATAAATGAGGAAACAAGAATGATGAAGACAAAAAACTTGTTTGATGCACACAGCATTGTGGTTGCTTCCCTGACTTAATTCATTCGTTCATCAGGCAGATGTATACTATAGGACATCCGATGATTGTGCAGCTTTTCTTGCAAACTATGGTAGCAGATTAGATGCAAATGTGACATTTAACGGGAGATCCTATTTTCTCCCTGCATGGTCAGTGAGCATCCTTCCAGATTGTAAGAATGTTGTTTTTAACACAGCAAAGGTAAGCCTCTCTTTTGCCTTTTGGTATGGATACTTCATATCCCTAGATCATGCTGAATCCATAGTTGGACATGTCTACGCTTCTTCATTTGATTGCATAAAAGCTGAAATATGATGTAATTTATATATTTTCATTATGTTGAATATGGAAAAAGGTTGTCACTCAGAAAAGTGTTGGTGATGCTACATTTGCTTCCAGTGCCAGTGTGAGTGAATTGTCACTGTCAACTTCACCCTGGAGTTGGTATATAGAGAAAGTGGGTGTTTGGAGTAACGACTCATTCACAGCAACCAGTTTGCTAGAACAGATAAATACAACAAAAGACACAAGTGATTTTCTATGGTACACTACAAGGTAATATATTACAAAACAAGATCCTTGTTTGATTGCACGGTATTTTAAGGTGTCTGGAAAGAGAATCTATACTATATTATAAAGCATTTGACAAAAACTCTTAAAAACCTTTTTTATGCATGAAGTACTGTTTATTGATGCATATTACTTAAAATTCAAGATTACAAGTAAATTGAGCGTAAGTACAACTTACTAAAGCTTCATATTTGAATTCGTGTAACTAACTGTAGATAGAATAATCAAATAGAGGATAAACATCTCATTTTAAATATACAAAATCTAAAATATAATTAGGATAATCATTGAGTTCTAACAAAATACTTAAATATTATCTTTATAAAAAATTATTAAACCAAAAAAAAATGAATTAAAGAAATATACAGAAAAAAAGGAGAAATTAAATAGTTAGTTTGGTACTAATATCAATATATTTTTAAATAGTTAATTTGATACTAATATCGATATATATATTTCAAAATTTTATTTTTTATTCAAAAATGAAAACATTATCGTTTTCTCAAAACCGCATAAAAACGTATTATATCAACAGAGACAATGAATAAAACAAAACATTAAAATGGAGATGTGTCTCGCTGCATTGTGCTAGTACCCTTCTAGTAAGTTCATGAATCAAATGCTGATAATTATCTTTCACCTCATTAGAAGATTTTGATGTCGATTTAATGTGCATGCTTATATGGTGGCTTTCTGTCACCTCTGCAGCATAGAAGCAGATGAAAAGAAAGATGCATTTTTGCTTATTCAGAGTTTGGGACATGCTGCTCTGGTTTTTCTGAACAAAAAAGTTATAGGTAACTTCTGGTTTGTGCTAATAGCTGTTTACCGTTGGGTAGAAACCATTTTTCAAATGTACAAGTATACTATAAAACTGCTTATTAAATAAGCCTTGATTATTATGATCAAGTGTTCTCAGAGCTATAACCCACAGCTGTGGAAGTCCTATGAATCACTAAAAAGTTCTTCGATCAGAGTGCAGCAGTAGTCAAGGTGCCAGGGATCTCATGGTGCAAATCTTACATATTGCTTGAGACGCATGGCCAGAAAAAATTGTAAACATGAAATACACACAAGATAGGGTTATTTGTCAATAATAACGTCAAATAATAAGCAAGTCAATGACAAGTAGATTACACATTCAAAGGTTCATATAAGATGTTGGTCACAAAATTGCCATTACGTGAATTTTATATAATAAATGGAACTTCATTAGGAATTTGATGCAAACAGAACGTCATACTTGGTGCAGAATATACAAGTTTATAGCATCCAATGCAAGTTACAACTCTTCAAGAATTACCAAAACAAACTTTCTTTAAGACCAACCCATGACCATATTGTGCCTTGCATCATGAGGTGCGCCATTTAATGGGTTCGTCATTGCCTATCTGGCTTGCTCCATTTTATGGGCTCATCATAGGCGCAAGTCCCCTTTCTTTCTGCACCTAGCACCATGGCATGCGTCTTCACTACCTTGTACACTAGTCAACTATTGGTGCTGCATGCAAATATATTACAAATATGATAAGACCACCCAGGCCACGATTCGACCTCTAACTTTAGAATGGATATTTCCGGGTGTTCAAAGTATCACTAGTGAAGATAGGCAATTATTGGTTTTTCATATGTATTATATGCATCAGTTAATGATATCTTTACTTCTTGGTCTTCTTGTTTATATATATACGTAATGCTGTTTTAAGTATTTAAAGTTGAAAATGAACATCATAAGATTTTCCTCTCTTAATCTTCAGTCATTGTTTCTATCACTGAATATGTTTTGAAACACTTCTAATATGTTCACAAGCAACGACTGGCATTTATCTTGTTCACAGCCACTATTTATCTGTTGGAGACTAAGTCCACTTGTTTTTGAAATCCCTTGTAGCATTTGGCTATGGTTATCATGATGACGCAAGCTTCAACATAAGTGAGAAGATTAGTATCGCACAAGGAAGCAACACACTGGATATAATTAGTATGATGATTGGTGTACAGGTGACCATTTCTTTCTTTTCTTCTGGTTACTTACTCGTATCTATACAGGCAATAAAGTTGATGTACATTTAAAAACATCATGCATCTATACACTCAATAAATAAATAACTTTGGGGGCACGTGTCATGTTTCTGTGCGACGGTTATTGATTTTTCCCGCCTAAACATGTATGTAGACACAATTTTCACTTACGGTTCAAATAGGTCTATTTAAGTGACATCTGTCCCTCTACACGTTATTAACCTGTTTTCGTGGTTTAACTGATTTCCCATATCTAATCTCTGATATGTTTTCTATAATTTCTAAATCTGAAGGCTTCTTTTCCAGACTTAGAAGTTTGAACGCTGAACATGTATGTAGACACAATTTACATTACTGGTTCAAATGAGCCTATTTAATTGACATATGTCCCTGTAAACATAACTGATTTCCATATGAAAAGGGATTTTTTTTCAAATACTTAAATAAGCAAAAGTCTGGATTTCCATTCCTCAGACTTATAAGTCTGAACTCCTTTTCCTCAGTTAAAATTCAGAGTTGTCTGCCAGACTTATAAGGCATACCAGTATAAAAGTCTGTAGACAAGTCTGAACTCCTTTTCCTCAATTAAAATTCAGAGTTGTCTTCCAGACTTGTAAGAAATACCGGTATAAAAGTCTGAGGACAAGTCTGAGCTCCTTTTCCTCAGTTAAAATTCAGAGTTGTCTTCTAGACTTGTAAGACATACAAGTATGAAAGTCTGGGAAAATTAGAGTTATAAGTCTGAATTTAACTCTGAAGTGGCCTCCAGACTTACAACATAACTCTGGGAAAATTCAGAGTTGTAAGCCTGAATTTAACTCTGGAGTGGTCATGAAAACTGGATTTAAAATTTCAAATTTGGATTTTTGAAGCATTTTTCACAAAGCAATATTACCCGGGAAAAAAAATTCCAAGCTGACCAGCTCGACCCCAGCCAGGGGCTCTGCCCCTTGGACCCCGCCATGGCGGGCGCTACCCTCAGACCCCCGTCGTTTAGGGGCTTCGCCCCTAAATCAAAATAAACTCAAACAAGTGTGCACTCCGCACTTTCCTTACTTGTTCGATATTTATCATGATTACATTGGTCAATAAATTAATCCCATTACACTTAAATGACATTAGTGAATAGTGATACAAATCACCAACATGAAGTCATCAAATATTGGTTATTTCTCAGACTTACAACATAACTCTGAATTGTTCTGTTCCAAACTTAGTTCTATAGTTTATTCCCAGACTTAGAATACAACTCTGAACTCCTCTTCAGAGTTACGTTTATGAGTTATAAGAAGTCAGAATTCTTATGACTCAAAGTTATGCTCATAGATACTTTCTAGACTTAGAAGACAACTCTGAATTCCTCTTATTCAGAGTTAAGTCCAGAGTTATTTTCCAGCGTAACAATATAACTCCAAATTCTTGTGTTTCAGAGTTAATGTTCAGAGTTTTCTTTCAGAGTTAATGTCTCGAGTTTTTCTCATTTAAAATACCCCGTGTAATACACGGGGTCGAACCTAGTATTTATATAAGCAACAAATGAGTCAATTAGGACAGTTAATTTACCCAACTTACTAATTGGTGCAACTGTTTTTATTAAGATATAATTAAAAGAACAAATACAAAACATTACTGGTAGGGCATTATTATAAAAGGCAACATTGTTACTTAATATTCCATAATTCAAGAAAAAAACTAGAATAGAAAAATTCGGTCAAAAACGATGATATCTGAATGATGGACTGACCAATTCTTAAGTTTACTTTCCACCAACTAGAAGGAATGCTTATTATGTTATAGAGTACAATGACTAATGAGAAGCTAGTATCTAGTGAACTCTTCCTGTTTAAAAAGGAAAACCACACATTACAAATGACATTTTCAATTTACAGCTTCTTGTTTCTGAATTTGATGCTTTTGGTTGGGTTATGCTCATGGAACATCAGATGTTATGCTTGTTTAAGTTCAAATATTCATAATTCTCTGCTTTTCTGATTTCTAAATCGTAATCACTCATCTCCTTAACATTTTGTTTCTTATGTTTTTATATTCTTCTGCAGAACTATGGTCCTTGGTTCGATATCATGGGGGCAGGCATATATTCAGTTATTCTTGCTGATCTGAAGAATGCCAAAGAGGACTATTCATCTAAAGAATGGACCTACCAGGTTTGTTCTTAACTTTGTCTATTAATGCCAGTATAGCTGGCTTGAGGCCATGGATACCAAAGCCAAACTCTATGGTGGGTGCAGGACCATCCCATAAAATCACAAGTTTATGGTTGCTTAAGTGTGAACTGTAGCAATGTTGTCTTGCAGTTTCTTGATTCTCTTCCATTCTGGTATCTTTCATGCATAGTTTAGTTTGACATTTTTTTTGCATTCAGGTGGGAACAGAAGGGGAAAACCTTGGACTTGATAAAACTGATCTTGCTAACAGTTCCCTATGGACTCAGGGCAGTGCCTTGCCTGTAAATCAGAGTCTGATTTGGTACAAGGTATATAACACATGTAGTTGAACGTCTGAATTTCTATTATAAATCTGGGGGCATCTTATCCTTGAATGTCTGAATTTCCATTGTAAAGGACCTAGACGATCTTCTTTTGATGTATCCTAGCAACAACTAGAGATGCAGTCAAATTACCGACTTTTTTGTGTTTTGAGAACTACTATTGGTCTAACAGGTCAACTGAGCATTTAGTTCCAACACCCTGATTTTTCTTTCTTATTCTCAGTCCACATTCCTTGCCCCTGAAGGAAAAGGTCCTCTATCATTGAACCTTGCTAGTATGGGGAAGGGTCAAGCTTGGATCAATGGGCAGAGTATAGGACGATATTGGTCTACTTACCTTTCACCATCGACAGGTTGCACCACAAATTGCGACTACAGGGGAAGTTATGATGCACAAAAATGCCAAAAGAAGTGTGGCCAACCAGCTCAAATATTGTAAGTAACATACACATTTCATTGTCCACCTAATCTCTTCTAGTTCATGTTACTGTAATTTTTATTAAATGAAAGTGTTCAAGTAAATTGTATAATAGATGATCATAGTTGTATGAATGCACTAGAGTTTTTTTAGTGGTTCCTTTTCCTTTTCTATAAAGCCTGTTTTAGAAATATGTCATGCATTATGCATATATACTACTTGTACCTCATGTCTCGAAACAAAATAAAATTGACATCTTATGAAGTAAGAAGATATAAGTAACTTGTACAAATAAACAATTCTACTTGTTCAACTAAAGTAAATTAAACTTTACTTGGTCTTTGTCACGTTTTACAAACTAATGTGAAGAAAATGGTGCAGATATCATATACCACGCACCTGGGTGCATCCTGGTGAGAACTTGGTTGTTCTTCATGAAGAGCTTGGTGGCGACCCTTTGAAAATTTCTGTGGTGACACGAAGCGGGCAGGAGGTGTGTAGCCATGTCTCAGAAGATGATCCAATTCCTGTTGACCTCTGGAATCCAAACTCTGATTCCAGTTCTCAAACCCCTGAAGTTCGATTGACATGTGACCATGGCTGGAAGATTGCATCAGTTGGTTTTGCTAGTTTCGGAAACCCCAAAGGAGATTGTGGCACATTTACTGAAGGAAGTTGTCATGCAGACGTCTTGTCTATCGTCCAACAGGTACCAGAATTCTTATTCGTCTGCCTACGTACGTGCAGGCATTCGCTAAATTCATTTATCGTTGCATTGTTTTTCTTCTTATGTGATTTCTTAGAGCATAAACTTGCTTCAATCTTATTTACAGAACCAGGTAGCATAAACCCATGTCATGCACAGCCTTGAAATTAGATTTCTTCACTATTGCACCTTCTTTCATTCTTCTGTAGAAAAGGAATGATGCCACCATCTTAAGAGTCCCATCCTACTGATATCACGACAATCATGTGGAGGTAAATTGCATGTCACATGAGAGATGGTTGGTGCTTGGAGTCAAACCCAGACCTCAGTTGATTCTTCAAAACCCAGACCCCATTTATTCAAACATAAATTAATTTTTCAATTTTTTTAAATTAAAAAACTTTATTTGATAAATATGTCTCTCTTTTGACCTTAAATTGTTTTAGCCCAATTCAATACTTCTAGAAAAAAATTTAGCCCATGATGCAGTAATTTAAAGCCTAATTAGCAATTGTTTTTTTGATAAGGAGGTTTGTTAGCACTTAGTTGATATCTAGTTGTTAAGGTTAGGATTGTTATTTGATGCCAAATTGTTAATTATTTGGTGGATAATTTTAATTGTTATATTGTTTTGCAAAAAATGGAAATATTTAACTTTTAATTGTTATATTGTTTTGCAAAAAATGGAAATATTTAACTTTTATGTTACTCAAATTCCGACCTCATCACCAAAATTCTTGTATCCGTCACTGTTGTCAGCTAGGCTAAAGTTTTAGGGACTTGTCCATTCGTTCATTGCATTGTTTCCATTTAATTGCTGGGATCCAACAGCATAAACCAACTTTAATCTGATCTATAGAATCCAGTAGCATAAGCTTGGTTTCAATCTGGATTTTAGGATTGAGTCATATTTGATGAACAATGCAATGCAGGTTTGCATGGGTAAGCAAAAATGTTCGGTTCCAGTTTCCACAGGTATCCTTGGCAACCCATGTCCAGGGGTGATGAAAAGCTTGGCAATTGAAGCTTTATGCAGTGTTTGAAGCATCTATCACTTTTTCAATCTGTAATTGCTGCATTTATGATTTGTTGTGATATAACAAATGGTATGCTCTAAACGAAATAAAAGTACAACCTATTCTCGTTACCGTACATACCTGTTCATTTGTGCAATTCTCCATCATTCATATATTTTGTAAAAATAAACAAATCCCATGAAATACCAACCAACTATCCTCATGGGATTTCTAAAATCTATGACTTTTTTTAAACCAAACACAGGCCCTAAGTGGAATCGATCATCATGAACATATGTTGCCGCAAGGTGTGTTTGTGACGTCAAGACTATTTATTTGAGACAAGTTCACAGTTACATGTTGAAGCTTGGAATCATAAAAACAACGAAGAAACTCATGCACAAAGATTATATCGCGAAGATCATTTGCATGTTAAAAGGATTCAAGTGACCTTTATTTAACTTAATATGGGTGGTTAAATCCCTGAGAAGAAGTACTTTCGGAAGAAAATATTTATAGTCTTCGGATTGATTACAAATGAGCAAAAAAGCATTCGAAAATTGAAACCCAACTTTCGTTTTTTGCTTCTTGTAATCAGCCAACGACCTTCAATAACTTTGAACACAGGCTTTTATTTCTTAGAGTGGATGACATTCAGTCCAACATAATGGTGGAACAAATAAAAGTGGAAACTTACAAAGAGAAGAGAGTGGTTAAGAGGCTTTCATGCAAGTAGGAGGATCTTTCCAATATGTGTACTGGTTTCCATAAGCTTGTGAGCTTCTCCTGCTTCTGATAATGGCAAGCATTTGTACACAACAGGTTTCACCTTCCCTTCTGCAATTGCTGGCCAAACGTTCTTCTCCACTTCACTCACTATTTCAGCTTTCTTTTCCACGCTTCTCGTTCGCAGACCAGCACCTGCAACAACCAAATTCAATCAAAAGCTGTGTTTGCAGCTTGATGGGACTCACAGCTCATTCGCTCAGTTATACATAATTGTTTGGTTGTCTTAATGATATAGAAAGTGTTTATTCAGTAAGCTTCTAAGGGATGCTTTATGCAGAAATCCTAATTCTTTCCCAAACCTGCCCCTCCCAAACAAAAAAACATGCCCCTTCCATCTAGGAAAAAACCTTCCCAAACAAAAATTTTCTCAATCTATACAGACAGCTTTATCCATACAGAACTTGATGGAAAACCAACCAAACATCCCCTTAAGTTTAGGATGACATGGGATTTAGTAGGTTCTATCAAATATTTGGAATAATCCAAGATGACATGAATCAAAAGATTCGACAGAAACTTTTCGGTCATGTTGGAATGAAATATAGACGCAAGTTACAAAATAAAAACATCAACAAAGTATCTTTTAGGCATATTTACCTTGCACAGTCAGCCGTTTTGCCAGCAACAATGATATATTTGCGTCCGTCTTCACTCCTCCCATGAAACCAATGATGAAAAGCCTGCCATCGATACCTAAGCTTTCCAGGTTCTTCTGGAAGTAGGGTCCACCAATATTATCCAGTATAACATCGACACCTATTGTTTGCCTCTTCTAAGGTCAGATATTAAGAAAGAAAATCGAGCAAATGATCTATTTGGACCATTGTACTTGGTGGTTCATTGTAAACTAACCAATATTCTTGTAAATATGCCAAAAAGAACACTGTATTTTGCAAGAGATTTCGGGCAACTATGAAATGTAGGGATTATTTAGGAGAATAACCATACAAATTTTTTTAAAGCCATCATACATTCATAGATTTCATACTAGACACGTTTGTTCCCAAATAGCTCATTCTTGCAAAAACTAATGTTTTTCTGTGTTTCATATGATGATGGTCTGTTGCCATCAATATCAAGTACAATGGCTCGGAAAGTCAATCACTCAGAAGAAAAACACGTCACAATAGCAACAAAGTTTTGAGGTGTGTCACCTTTCCCCCCTGTTTCCTCCTTTACTCGTGCAACAAAATCCTCCGTCTTGTAGTTGATGCAAACGTCAGCTCCAAGCTCCTTACATGCCTTTAATTTTTCCTCGCTCCCTAAACAAATAAGAAACAAGCTTCTTGTATGATTGTAGGTGATCATAGAACTGAATCAGCGATAAACGTGTAGGAAAAAACAAAGTTACCTGCAGTGACAAACACTTTAACGCCAAGGTATTTGGTCATTTGAATTGCAAATGTACCAATGCCGCTAGAACCACCATGTATCTGAAAATTTTACAAGCTCCATATCAATAAGTTTGAGAACGTATAGAAACATGGTAGCTTGGCCGCTCCACTATTGAACAAAATATTTTTCCGATCACCTTCCCACAAAAATTATGAATTTCATCCATGTGCCTTATGTTACGATGAAATTTTGATCCCGACCAAAAAAATAACATTTTCCATTAAAAAGTCTTATTGGTAGTATTGTATTAGCAAGGACAAATTCATGAATTCACTTTTGTTTTGGCCAAAATACTAAGGGACTGGTAGGTTAAAATTGATCGGTCTCTGAGGTACTTTACCTGAATAAATCACTTTAGTAGCACAATGGCCAAAACTTGTTTAGTGTAGAAACTAAACATATTTTCTGGTGTTACGCATGTATATATTATTGCTACAAATCCACGGATATATTCCTCCATTTCGAGAAGTATTGAACTACTCTTCAATTGATATGTATCATTGAGATGTCTTGAAATACTTTGGACCTATACTAAATTCTACAACTAAACTAGAAAAAAGAAGCATTTGTATTAAAGTTGAACATGAGAATCCAGAAGTACTAGGCTTGACTTAAAAAGTCAAATTGAATTTTTGGAACTAAGGGAGTCTCAAATATGTTTTGCTAATTAGGTTGTAGCCTCAGCTTCTTAAGCAGCCTTCATGTTCAAAAATAGTGCCCTCAAAATACTTGACCCCGAGCTATGAAAATTTTACATTATTCAGATCCTGAAAATTGCAACAGTTCCCTTTTCCATTGTGCACGAATATTAAGTTTCTTTTTGGAGAAATGTTCATCCTAACTTTCCAGTTATCATCATTACAATTGAATTGATGCTACTGATTTCGGCCACAAGTTTATTTTACTTTGTGTCTATTTTAGGTATTATATATATGATTGTCGGACAGTCGAACATTCTACTTAAATTGCCCAAAGAATGTTGCAATTTTTATCAGACTTGCAGATTTCTTTTGTGTGTGTATCACTGGCTCATTTTCTATGACAATTCTGGGGATAGATGGCCACAATTTTGGTAGTTAAATTGAAATCAAGGAAAAGATGACAATTGTTGCATCCTAGAAAGCAAAATTAACATTTCATTTTACCAGAACTGTTTCCCCTGAAGATAGCCTGCTTGTCATAAAGATGGTTGACCAAACAGTGCATGCCACCTCAGGGAAGCTAGCAGCATCTTTCAAAGAAACACCAGCTGGAATCGGAAGAACTTGACCAGCAGGTACAGCTACTTTTTCAGCATATCCTCCACCACTTATAAGAGCACATACCTATAATTAAAGATTCCCATGTTATTTGGTATGAAGAACAAAACTTTGCAGGGAAACTATTCATTATTATACTAATATTTGCAGATTTTCTAATGACATGAGGATCTAAATGCTTTTCTCAACAGACAAAATCCTATATATACATGCACAGCAATTGATTGAATATGTAGAAACGGAAAGCAGCCACGAGAATTATCGTACTATATAAACACAATTTTAGCTTACCTCCTGTTATCAAATCCATAAGATCCCAATTACCATGTTTCAGGCAAAAAACAAGAAAACTACACACACAGAGTTTGTTCTTCAACAGAGCTTGCAGTTTTAAGTTAAAATGTCAAGGGTTCAAGTACATACGCAAATGTTTGTACCATATCATCATAATGAAGTCCAAATGACCTGAGGATGTTGCTCTTACACAAACATGCCCATGCATACACAGGACAGAGTATTAGTTACAATGAGTGTATCGCAGCATGAGGTGGGAGAGTGATGGTTTGTTGTTTAACCAAATTTGATTGGTTTGTTGTAGCACACCAAAATACAACCGGTTCAAATCCTACTTTCCTAGATAAAACATGCTTATGCTCATGGGTCAACTATTTGTACTCTGGTTTGATTGCATGTTGCTAAAGTTTTGTGCCATAAAATTTGACCATCCACTCCCTCTAAACTCACCAGCACTTTCAGGCTTTAGCTGCAGTCACCAAATGCACTACCTGTAAAACAAGCTTCTGACCATGTTTAAAGTATTTCAAATAGGACTTGATTGAATGCCGTTCAAAAGTTGTGTATTAGAAGTTGATCATCCACTCCCTCTAAAGGTAACATTAGCAAATGTACATCTTGTAAGCATGATTCTGCACATGACTCAACTATTTTCAGGTCAAGCTTGATTGAATGCTAATTCAGGTGATTCCTCACTAAAGGTAACATCAGCAAGTATAACCCTACACGCCAAATCACACAAACACACAAAAGCAAATTCATACATATCAGCCAATATGCCCATCTTCAGCACACACACAACACAAGGGAAGCTTTAATCAGTATAATTATCCAGTAATCTCAAAATTCAAACCCCAATAGCCATTTCAACTTCCTTACAACAAACGAAGATTTGTAACTGTTTGAACATATTCATAAAATAATCGGTTGAGCCCTAACTCACCTCGTCCCCAACTTTCCAACGGGATACGTTTTTGCCGACTGCTTCGATGGTTCCAGAACATTCTAGTCCTGGATACTCACTCTCGCCCTTTGGCGGAGGGTACTTCCCTTGCCGTTGAAGTGTATCAGCTCTGTTGAGAGCGGTGGCTTCCACTCTGATCAATACGTCATCGTCTTTGACTTTTGGCTCTTCTACTTCTTGCAGTTTCAGAACTTCTGGACCTCCGGGAGTTGTGATTACTACAGCCTTCATGGTCGCCGGTGATCGGAAGTAAGGGTTGCCGGAAGAGAGTTGGTCAAAGACACGTGTTATGGAGCTTTCTCCTATTCAAGTTTCTCACGGCACTGATTCTATATATATCCGTTCACGATGATTATTTGTAACTTTTAACAAAAATAGATGAGTAATTATAAATATGTTTTATGACTAAAATCAAAATAAATATAAGAAATTAAGAATGAGAATTGGGTAATACTAGGCCTGGCAACGGGGCGGGGATGGGGCGGGTTTTGTAATCCCGGCCCCGGCCTCGGTTTGTAGTAACTTCCCCCGGCCCTGGTCCTCGGCAGGACGGAGATTATTATCCCGTCCTCGGTAGGACGGAGATTATTATCCCGTCCTCGGTCAAATCGCTAGCAATCCCCGGTCAAAACCCGGTAAAATCCCGGTCAAACCCCGTAAAAAGTATTCTCTATTTTGATTCTACCGGGGATCCTCGGCCCCGTCCCCAGTTTGAGTAACATTCCCCGTCCTCGGTTTGTGTCTACCAGGGATCCCCGGCCCTGGGACCCGTTTTAGCGAGGAATCCCCGTCCCCGTTCGGGTCAGGTGAACCGGGTTCCCCACCGGGTCGGGCAAATCACCATCCCTAGGTAATACCATGTCGCTTTAGGGGCTGTTTGGCAATTACTGAATGGTTTGGTGCAGGATGATTAAGTGATCAGAATGATTAAGAGGCTCTCATGATATAATGCAAAATGAAATATAATTGTTTGGTAATTGTGTACAATAAAATTAGGGCTCTTAATGATTAAGGGAGATTCAAGATACAAAATCATTCAGAGGGTTTTAGAACAATTAAAAGACAGACTTTCTTTTTGCCAAACAAGATTCACTTCTTAACGATTTAGAGATTGCCTCTTAATGGAACTATTAAGAGATAAACAAACAACCCCTAGAGTTACATAAGATCAGCCTTTTTTACTATTAATTATTTATTTCTTTTTGGCACCACTTGGCCACGTTCCTCCCAAAGGCTATTGTCGTGTAGGGTTTTGGGTTGATATAGGGAGTCAGTTTATTTATGGGATCATCTCTAAAATTGAATTCACTAGAGTTGCTATCTGAGGTGGTGTTTGGTTTACATAATAACTTTGGATGAAATGAAATATGTTAAAAGAATTTTATTTTGAAGGAATTGGAATGAAATGTTGTCAGGTTTGACCACATGTTTGGTTGATGGACATTGAAATGAAATTTGTTAAGGAATTGGAATTGTTTGCTTCACATAATGTAGCTTTGGAATTGGAATGAAATATTGGTAAATGACCAAAATGCCCTTTTTGAAAACTTTAATTTTTTAAAACTAAAAATACTTTAATAAAATAATTATTTAATATGTAAAACAAATACAAAACTTAAATATAACCATAAGTCAAACGATGTTACTAAATCAATGGTGGACGGCAATGGTTCAGATCGGTGGTGGTCTGCAGTGGTTCAGATCACGGTGATTCAGATCGATGGTGGTCAGCGATGCTTCAGATCGATGGTAGTCGGTAGTTCAAATGGTGATGGTCGGCGATAATTCAGATTGACGATAGTCATATTGGGTTTTATGAGATTAGTGTATATTGAGTTAAGGGCATATTTGATACTATGAAAATAGAGAATTTCATTCCATCAAAATACCATGTAGCTGTTAAGAAATGTTAAATTCCTTTATTTGTGGAATTTGTACGATTTTGAAGATTCCTTTCATGAAAAAGAAAGAACCAAACGAGTGAATAGGATTTGGTCAATGAAATTCAACATTCCAATTCCATTAGATTCCTTCAGTGAATTTTGTTTTCCATTGCCAGTTGTTCTATCATTGGTATTGGAGCAATACGTTCCGGTTCTGGTGTGGTGTATGGAGCGAATCAACAATGCAAATTTGATAGGAAAATATGAAGAAGTTTCTCGTAGATTGGAAGGTCATTATGATGCGTTAAGACATATTCAAGTAAGTATTGCAAAACTTAAGCTGTTGAATATTGAATTGGCACAAAGTATGAAAACTTTACTGATTTTTTAGGGGAAGAAGTTAATCCAGCAGCCAAACCTTCATCTTCTTATGTTGTGGATAATGAAGGGAGGGTCTATGTAGAGGATGAGGAAGTTGATTCCAACGAAATGAAGAACAATGAGGGATACCAATTGGTCAATAGAATGACCAAATGTTATAACTGGGTTTTCTACAAATATGGGTTGAGGTAAATTTATGTGTTCATTATGTGAATTATGTGATAGCATGCATGTTGTCTTAAAGATAAATGCATGAATTATGTGCACATGTGTGGTAATTTGATATTATGCATGCATGTGAAAATTTTATAGGCGGTTATATGATAAAATAATATGTGGAAATATTATTATAATATAAACCTTCATGGTTAAGAAAGGTTGATTATAAAACATTATATTTCCACCGCCTAATGATTTTATATTGAAAGATATTCATCACCGCCTCATCCTAAGTATAAAAGAAAGAGGATAAAGAAAAAATCTTATCAGTTCACTATTTTACAAAATATACAAGAGAAATTTAAAGGCGGTGAAAGTGTTCTTGAAGGAGTTCTTGAAAAATATTCTTGAAGAATATTGTTGTTTAAAGATTATGTTATTTGATGTGTGATAATCTGCAGAATCTGTTGTTTTAAGGCGAGTTTTTGAATTACTATCAGTTTACAAACCGTGAGTTTTTATCTGCTGATTGATCTTGAAAACTGTTGAGTATTGATGGTTTGAAATTTAAAAGAATTTGGTAAAACTGTTCTAAACAGTTTTAAAGGAAATAGTTCGTAATTTTGTAGTTTGAAATTGTTTTGGAATGATTAAAGCAAAAATTGTGTTTTAACAGTTTTGGGATATGATATCCTTTGTTGAGGACTTAAAGAGGAATAAATGATTTGAGAAATCATTTTATAGAACATATTGTTCTAAGGCTTGAAAGGTTTTGAATATAAACCTATTTTGGGATTATGATTGGTTAAAACTATAGACGAGGTTCACTCTGACGTATATGACCTACCATTGGATGAAATAGTCTGTAGATTTTGGTTAAATCTATGGACGAGGTTCACTCTGACAGAAAGGTCTGCAGCCTGTCATTAGATGAAATAGTTCATATGAATTTCAGGGGAAACAAGGATGGTCGTTGTGTGTAATGGATAGCTATTGCTATAAACAAGAGATTGATGGATGTAATAAGGATGGTCGTTATGTGTGTGCATGGTATAACTCTTGCTATTATATCTAATAAGATTACAACAGATTGAAGTTCTCTCTTCTTGGTGATTTGAGGTTTCATAGATGTTCTTCTTATTGGAAATAGTAGTATTAATGTTATGGTTATGGGGAAAATATGTGGCTTATGGTCATTGGGTTTGACAAAAAGTATTTTGGAACAGAGTGTTCATTTTATGACGAACCAGAGGAGCTCTGGTTGATCCTCACAGTTGGACCAGAGGGTTCTTGTTTATGATGTGATGAATATGCAAATTTCTACTAAACGTAGTAGTCGGACCATAGGCTCTGTATATTTTGATAAGAGCTTTTGTGTCAAAATTATATTTTAAAGTAGTTTTAAGAAAAAAGAGTTTTATACTTAGTGTTTTATACAAAAGACAGACCAGAGGGGCTCTGGTCGACTCATACGTTGAACCAGAGGCTCTGGTTGGTCATAACTTTTGAACCAGAAGCTCTGGTTAGTACAACCAGAGGCTCTGGTCGAGCAAGAACTCTAGATAGCTATTCTTTTGTGAAAAAGACTATCTTATTCATTGGAAAACTTAACTCAAGAACATTACAAGGAATTATATGAGCCGGAAGCTCTGGTTAGTACAACCAGAGGCTCTGGTCGAGAAAATAGAAGCTTTGATAGACGAACCAGAGGGGCTCTGGTCCTGTTTATTGAAATATATTCCAAATATGGTTTGGAACCAGCGATGGACCAAAACAGAATATGATTTTCAGTCTTTGCAACATGAGATGGATTATTCGAAATAAATATTTTTGGTGATCTTCACCCTGCATTACATAAAAAGGGAACCTCATTAGACATTTATGTCTAACCCTCATTTTATGTTTTCTAAAATATGTGTGCAGATTATGAGAATAAGGGAAAAAACATTATGTGAATTTCGTCTCTATGTGCTTTGCTATGTGAAGATCTTGGTTAGCCATGTGTTGAAGCTTAGATGCTAGGATACAAGAGCATGTATTTTTGGGAATTTTTGAGTTGTAGATTTTAGTCTCTTGTATTATGGACCTGTGTGGAGAAAACATGTATTCTATATATGAAATATGTGTTTTATGCAATGTATGGTTTGGGGGTGTGACAGAGATGGTATCAGAGCCTGAGTTTAAGGGATTTAGGTATTCACAATCATGATGCCTAGACTTAAACTGTTTCATTGCATATTAGGGTCCCAGACATAGTTAGCACATTTGGAATAAATATAATAAGTTAAGAGATCAGTGTGTAAGGTATTTTCGGATTACATCTGCCCAATGTAATTTTGAATTTACATGTACATAACTGAACTTGGAAACTTTATTATATTTGGGAATGTGAAAATATGTTTATGAATTTTGAAATCTAAGATGACAAGCAGATCTAGAAGGTCAGAAAGGATCACCCGCCCCAACCCCACTAATGAAGAAGAATATTCTCCTATTATAGCTCCTATTAATACCTCTGAGGGCAGAGGCAGAAGCAGAGGAAGGGGCAGAGGCAGAGGTCAAGGCAGAGGGCAGACCAGAGGCGGAGCTAGTCAACCAGAAAACAATATAGATCAAGCATAATCCAATTATGAAAATATGAATCAAGAACATATACCACAACCAGAATACGTGACCAGAGATATGCTTGCTGAAGAAATGGGAAAACTAAAGCAAACCTTGACTTCCATTATGGGGATTCCTGCTAGAATCGAGACTGGTAGAGTTGAAATTAATCCAGCAGTTCCAGTTATCAATACTCGAGAAGGAGATATAAAGATGTTCTTAACATGCAAACCACCAACTTTCTCGGGAGACAGAGATCCAGTTAAAGCCATGTGTTGGATCAAAAAGATAG